ACAGGCCCCAAGAAGACTTTCCACATCAAGCAGATGTTCACCTGCACATCTGCTAATGTGGTATACTGTATCTGCTGTTCCCGTTGTTGCTTCCTCCACATCGGGGAAACCAAGCGGAGGCTCGGGGACCGCTTTGCGGAACACCTGTGCTCGGTTCACAACAAACAACTGCACCTCCCAGTCGCGAACCATTTCAATTCCCCCTCCCACTTCTCAGACGACATGTCCATCCTGGGCCTCCTGCAGTGCCACAACGATGCCACCCAAAGGTTGCAGGAACAGCACCTCATATTCCGCTTGGGAACCCTGCAGCCCAATGGTATCAATGTGGACTTCACAAGCTTCAAAATCTCCCCACCCCGTACCGCATCCCAAAACCAGCCCAGCTTGTCCCCACCTCCCTAACCTGTCCTTCCTCCCACCTATCCCCTCCTCCCATCTCAAGCCCCACCCCCATCTCCTACCTACTTGCCTCATCCCGCCCCCTTGACCTGTCCCCTCCCTAACTCCCCACCTACACTCACCTTTACTGGCTCCATCCCCGCCTCTTTGACCTGTCTGTTTCCTCTCCACCTATCTTCTCCTCTATCCATCTTCTATCCGCCTCCCCCTCTCTCCCAATTAATCCCAGAACCCCCCTTCCCCGCCCCCATTTCTGAAGAAGGGTCTAGGCCCGAAACGTCAGCTCTCCTGCTCCTCTGATGCTGCTTGGCCTGCTGTGTTCATCCAGCTGTACACCTTGTTATCTCTGAGCTTTTCCAGCAATTTTGTTTTTGTTCGTGGTGGCATTATTGCTGAACTATTAATCCCAAGACCCATGTATGTTCTGGGTACCCAAGATCAAATTTCGCCATGGCTGAGGGTAGAATTTAAATTCAGTAAAAATCTGGAATAAAGGAACTAATGATGACCATGAAACTGATGTTGATTGTTAGTGAAAAACCCATCTGGTTCAGTAGTTTCCTTTAGGGAAGGAAACAGTTATCCTTACTTGGACTGATCTACATGTGATTCCAGACCCACAGCAACGTAGTTGACTCTTAGCTGCCTTCAGGGCAGTTGGGGTTAGGCAATAAATGCTGGCCAAGCCAGCGACATCCTCATCCCATCAATGAATAAAGACAAATAAAAAGTATCCAGTATCTTCACCTGTTTCTTAATATCATATGGAGCAACTCGAATTGGCTGAAGACCGGTACTAGGATGCATGGGAACCACTCAGCACTTCTGTCTGACGGTTGCTGCAAATGCTTCAGCCTTATCTTTTACACTGAAAACAGAAAATTCTAGAAATCCCTGTGGGTCAAGCAGCATCTGTGGCGAGAGAGTAAGGTAACATTTTGAGTTTAGATGACTCTTCATGAGAGCTGTCTTTTACACTAATATGTTTGGCTCCCCCATCGTTAAGGATGGGGATATTTGTAGAGCCCCTTACTCCAAGTGAGTTGTTTAATTGTCCATCACCATTCGTGACTGGATATGGCAGGATTGCAGAGCTTAGCTCTGATTCGTTGGTTGTGTGATCGCTTAGTTCTGTCCATCAATTGCTGCTAATGTTGTTTGGCTTGCAAGTAGTCCTATTTGGTAGCTTCACCAGGTTGACATCTCATTTTCAGGTATACCTGGTGCTGCTCCTGGCATGTCCTCCTGCACTATCCATTGAAACAGGGTTGATCCCCTGGTTTGATGGTAATGGTTGAGTGGGGGATATGCCAGGCCATGAGGTTGCAGATTCTGTTGGAGTACAGTAGCACTAATTCTTAATTCTGGCTGTCCGCTTGTAACCCTCAATATACTAACCTCATAAAGGTTGGGCAGTAATTCATTGTTCGTTATGCTCAAGAATTGATTCAATATTCATTCAGCAAATCTCACCAGTTTTACTTCTCTGGAAGAATTATCCAGTTTAGTCTTATTGTGCAGCCCTTTGTATTTTTTTTAGTTTTCAATTTCTTTTTCAAACTTTATCCCCTTATCTTAAAAACTGCAGCAGTTTGTTTTTTGTCCTTATTTCCATTAGTACATTCCACATCTAAACAGCTGTCTCTATCTTTTACCCTCCCTTAGTGAGTTATTTACATTAACTAGTTTTTGATTTTGACCAGCTGCCTTTTTTCTATTTACCATCTTAAAGCCTGTCTAACTACCTCATTGATTTTGTTCATGTCAGGCAAACCCAGCAAAAGCAGTAGTTGGGGGTCCTCCAGGGTCTGTGTCACTCACAAACATTTAATGAGAAGAAGAATAGACAGTTCAACCCCTTGAGCCAGTTCCTTTTGCGGAGGCGATGACAATGTCCACAGCTTTCACAGTGACAGGGCTAGCATGTCTGTGCTCTCATTGCTTGCTGACTAATCTGTACCTTTTATTATTTTAAGTTTGAATTTTTCAACTTTTCCTTTGCTCTCTACCCTCCATAAACTACAATACAGCAACTTGTTTCCTGCTCCTCCTCCCTGGAAACGAACACTCATCATTCCAGGACTTTGTAAGCTGCATTGGCTCTTGGAAATAATATGAGGCATTTTTTTTCTATTCATTTTGTGGTATGTGGGCATCGCTTGCTGGCCAGCATTTCTTGCCCATCCCTAGTTGCCCTTGAGAAGGTGATAGTGAGCTGCATTCTTGGTCCTTGAAGGTCCTTGTTTAACCCTTGTAGTAAATGGTAATGATGGCAATATGAGATTTATAAAATGTTTAAATTTTTTGCGGGGATGTGGGTATTGCTGGCAAGGACAGCATTTGTTGACAATCCCTAATTACCCTTGGCTTGCCAGGCCATTTCACAGGGCAGGTTAAGTCTTATTTCTGTGGGTCTAGAATTACATGTAGCCCAGTCCGGGTAAGGACATTAGATTTCCTTCCTGAAAGTGCATTATTGAACTGGATGAATTTTCCAACAATTGATATTACCAATCAATACCTGCCGTGCTCATCATTACTCAGATTAGCTTTCAATTGTAATACGTCTTGTGGCCTATATTTATCAACATTTAATTTGATAAGTTTGTTTCTGGTATGTTGCCTTTTAAAGCTTGGAGAAATCCCATTCTAAAAATGGATCTTGGGCTTTTTCTCTGCCCTTTTTGTTGCTTTTGTACTGACAATTGACTGTCTATGTGGGGTTTGCACGTTCTCCCCGTGTCTGGGTGCTCTGGCTTCGTCCCACAGTCCAAAGATGTGCTGCTTGGGTGGCTTGGTCATTATAAATTGCCCATAGTGTCCAGCGATGTGCAGGTTAGGTGGTTAACTGTGCTAAATGTTATGGGAATAGGGTGGATTGCTCTATGGTGCAAATTCAATGGCCAAATGGCCTCTGTCTGCACTATAGGGATCCTACAGGTCTATGAATTCCAGATTTATCCACTGAATTTAAATTCCATCAGCTGCCACGGTTAGATTTGAATCCACAACCGTAGGGAATTAACCTGGGCCTCTGGATTACTAGTCCCGTGGTGTTAGCACTGTGCCGCTGTCTCCCTTTCGTATGTTTACACAAATACATTGGAATTGGTTGGTTGCTTTCTTCTTCACTGATGCAGAGTTTGTCATTTGAATCCAGAGGCCGGATGTGATATGTTTGTGGAGCAAAGTAAAATATGAGCACTGAGAAAATAGAGCTTCATATTGACGCTGACATCATAGAGTAATATACACTACATTCAATGGCTTAAATACGATTTTTAAAAAATATACAAGCAAACCCTTTTGCAATATTCTTTGGTTTAAAGTTGATGCAGTATCTGTATGGTGTAAGATCATTTATGGAGCAATCCTTTTGATCTTTTTATAAAATGCAGGATATGGCAGACTCACTGCTAGGCCACTTGCAGTAAGTAGAGTGCTAATATTCCAACCTTAAGGTGTTGTGTTTTTGTGAAAGCTTTTGCTTTTTAACAAGCAGTTGTATTCTTCTCAAAATAGTATTATCTTTTTAACTGCAATTGTTTTCCCTGTTGTGTAAGTAGCGCTGAATCTGGAGCCTGCAGGAGGGTGTTGCTGTGAAGATGTCGCATCTAACTGGCGACTGTATTCACTTGGAATCAGTGGGCGAAGTAACAAAAGACGAACTAATCGAGAAATCACATGTAAGTCGCATAAATCTCCTTTTTCGGGGACAAATCTTCATTTCTCCACACATCCTCACACTCCACACATCCTCACACCCCACACATCCTCAAGCACCCAGTAAATTTACTTTTCTTTTGCCAATTTTATTTTTGTGTTACCCTTGGGAAGACGTGGGCTCCTTGTTACTAAACAAACTGCTCAGGTCCTTTCCACTGTATTGTGTGAAGGACAGTGAGCAGTATCACTTTAGCAGAGTATTTCCTTACCCTGCTTGATGCCCATGTGATCTCTGAGATTCACTCATGAAAACTTATTGCCACTGTTCCAGCTGCATCAATGGAAAAATGCATTAGGCAAATGTGAGATAACAAGGTGTAGAGCTGGATGAACACAGCAGGCCAAGCCGCATCCGAGGAGCAGGAAGGCTGACGTTTCGGGGCTAGACCCTTCATTTTCTGAACAGATCTAAACAGTTCTAAACACTTCTGATGGAGTGAGACAATTGGGACAAAGATAGCATCATTTGCAACCTCAGAATATTGCAAACTGCTTTATAGCAGTGAAATACTGTATAGTCACTCCTATAATGTAGGGGAAACAGTTGGGAATTTGCACATAAAGCCCGACAAAAAGCAATATAACAATAATCAGATCTGTGTAGTGCAAGAAAAGGGACAAATGTTGGAGAGAGATAAGTTTCTGTTATTTGAATGGAATCATTGCCATCGTGTATACCTATCAGAGGGGCTTAAGTTTAGTGTCTCCTTTAAAAGACAGTAGCCCAACAGTGTAGTACTCCTGTACTGCATTGATTCCTACTGTAGATTTTGTACATGAGTGCAATTTTGATTCAGTCATGTCTCCAATGATTGAACAGAACTTATACCTCAATATTATTTGAGTCCATTGCTAATGGAAAGGAGATTGAATAGTTAACAATTCCTGTCCACCAACAGAATGCCTCAGGTGATCAATCCTGTACCTTTTCGTTCCTGGCATAGTTGAAACCATGAATTCATTATGCACTTATCCAGTCCTTGAAACTCTCAAACTGGCCAGAACAGTGGGTTTAAATGAAGGACCAGAACTTGCATGATCTGCCTGGAGAAACGTTCATATTGTCCACCTCAAAAAAAAAAACAATTTTGGGATCACTTTGTAAAAGACCAAATTGAGTAAGCCATGTTCTGCTTCAGGACTATATGGATCACCATGGAAAATATACAGTAAGGATTCCAAACATGTCTGTCAAAATCCTGGAAATTACAGGAAGAGAAGAAATAAGGAGCCCCAATTTTTGTAGTCCAAACAATAAGGGTTGGATTAATTAAATTTGCTGTATATTCCATTGTACCTCACTTCTAACATTAGCACAAGGGATGCACTTTTATGTCCATGCCTTTCTACAGAAATATCTATATTCTCTTTTTGTGTCTGTGTAGGGTACTTGTCAAGACTGTAAAGTTGGAGGGCCTAACCTATGGGCATGTCTGGAGGTAAGGTTTTATGCGATCTGTGGGTATAATGCACTCTGCATGGTGTTGAAAATTGTTCATTCTCATTTTGAGCTTCTTTCCTTTGTTAACAGAATGGCTGTTCCTATGTTGGATGTGGAGAATCCCACTCTGATCACAGCACCATTCATTCGCAGGTAGGCATGAAGTTTTGCTTTTATGAGTAAAGAAGAAAGACTCACATTTCTACAGTGTATTTCACAACCTTCAAACATCCCAAAGCACTTTACAGCCAATTCAGCACTTGTTAAAATGTAGTAAGTGTTGTGATGTAGCAAGTGTTGCAAGTAGTTAATGCACAATAAGCCCCCATATGTGACAAATGACCAATTAATCTAAATATTGATCAAGAAGTCATTAAAAACGCCCTGGTTATTTTTCAGAAGAGTGCCGTGGGATATTTTATGTTCACCTGAAAGGGCATATGAAGCAGAACGTAAATAGGTTATCAGTTTTTGGAATGCACCACAAATGTGTGGTATCATTCATATATTGATAGTATTTTTTCCAAAAGTTTTTAAGCCACCTTTTGTCATCACTCTATAATATTGACATTGCAGTTGTACCTACACCACATGACTGGAGCTCAAGGCAGTTCTCCGTTGCCTTCTCCATGGTAGTTAAGAACAGGCAATAACTTAGCCAAACCAGTGATGCTCACATGAAAAAGCACTTGTGAACAGGATTAAGGAGAATCCTAAGATATTTTTTGAATACATTACATTAAAAGGAAGGGGTTAACCAGGGAAACAGTAGGCACCGATAGGGAAACCTGTGTGTAAAGCCTCAGCATATTGGAAGGGTTTTAAAGGAATACATTTCCTCAGTCTTGACTCTGGAAAAGGAGAACGTGAGTGCGGAATTCGCGAAGGGGGACTATGAGGAATTTGCACAGTTTGATATAGGAAACGGGGAGGTGTTGAAGGCTCTGTTGGGCTTAAAAATAGACAAATCCTCTGGCACGGATGAATTGTATCCCAGGTTGCTGTGGATGATGAGGCAGGAAATGGCAGGAGCTCTGACACAAATTTTTAATTCCTGTCTGGCCACGGGGGATGTGCCTGAGAACTGGAGGGCAACTAATGCAGTTCCACTTTTCAAGAAGAGTAGAGATGAATCAAGAAATTACAGACCATCATTTTGAAGATATTTGCACAAAATTGTTCTAGGGAAACTATTGGAGAAAATTCTGAAAGAGAGAATTAAAATCCACTTGGAAAGGCGTAGGCTAATTAGGGATGGTCAGCATGGCTTTGGCAGAGGTGGGTCATGCCAAACAAATTTGTCAGAACTGTACGAAAATGTGATCAAGTGTATGGAGGAGGGAAGTTCAGTTGATGTAGTTTATGTGGATTTTAGCAAAGCTTTTGACAAGGTCCCGCATGGGAGACTGATTGAGAAAGCTAAAGCACATGGAATTCAGGGAAACCTGGTGAGATGGATCAGAAACTGGCTTAGTAATAGAACTCAAAGGGTAGTTCATTTGACTGGAGGCCTGTGTCCAACGGTGTATTACAGGATCAGTACTTGGGACTCTTGTTTGTTATATACATAGATGAAAATGTGGGGGGAATGTTAAGCAAGTTTGCTGACAATAGCAAGATTGGTAGAATGTTTAACAGGAAGATATAGATGGGTTGGTCAGATGTGCAGAACACTGGTGAGTGGTATTTAACCCTGATGTACTTTGGAAGAAGAGCAAGGTGAACGAGTATTTAATGAATGGCAGGACACTCTGTAGCTTAGAAGAACAGAGGAATCTTGGGGCAATTAGGCATGGCATACAGTATAAGAGCCAGGAGGTAATGTTGGAGTTGTACAGAGTGTTTGTTAGGCCATAGCTGGAGTACTGCATGCAGTCTGGTCACCTCACTACAGGAAGGATGTGATAGCAATAGAGGGAGTACAGAGCAGATTCACCAGGATGTTGCCTGGGATGGAGAAGATGAGCTATAAGGAGAGAGTGGATAGGCTTGGATTGTTTCTCTTGGAACAGAGAAAACTGAGTGGGCCTGACATGATTGAGGTGCATAAGATTATGAGGTGTATGAACCAGGTGAATAAAGAGCAGTTGTTCTCTTTGTTTGAGGGGTCAATCACGAAGGGACAGATTGGCGGCATGTTGGCTCAGTGGTTAGCACCGCTACCTCATAGCACAAGTGAGTTTGCACGTTCTCCGTGTCTATGCGGGTTTCCGCTGAGTGCTCCAGTTTCCTCCCACAGTCCAAAAATGTGCAGGCTAGGTGGATTGACTGCCCATAGTGTCCAGGGATGTGCAAGTTAGGTGGATTAGCCGTGGGAACTGCAGGGTTACAGGGATAGTGTAGAGTTTGCTCTTTGGAGAATCGATGTGGACTCGAACTGAATGCTCCTGCACTGTAGGGATTCAATGATTATATAGTTTTGGGATCAGGGCAGGGGCATCACTCAGGATGATGTGAATCTGGAATGCACTGCCTGGGAAGGTAGTGGAAGCTTAAAACTTTGCCCTTTAAAAAAAAAATTGGATGAAGGGCAGTTAGGCTTAGCTCCATTTTCCTGCTTGTCCATTACCCTTGAACTTCCCCAATCGTGACTCCATCCATTTTTTAAAAATTGTTTAATATGTTTCATTTATTAGTACAGGTTTCCAGATCCTGACAACTTTTGTGTTTTTTTTTGGGAAGAGGTAGAGGGTGATTTGATTAATTTGATTTGTTACTGTCACGTGTGCCAAGGTACAGTGAAAACTGATGTTTTACGTGCTTTACAGGCAGGTCGTATATACAAGTGCAGCAGGGTAACAGAACAGAGTGCAGAATACAATATTACAGCTGCTGAGAAGGTGCAGAGAAAACTCAACCTTAATATTAAAGAGGTCCATTCAGAAGTCAGATAAAAGCGGGAAAGAAGCTGTTCATACATGTATGCAATCTTTTTTATAACTTCTCCCCGACGGAAGAGGGTGGAGGAGAGTATAACCAGGGTGGGAGGGGTTTTTGATTGTGTTTGTTGCCTTCCCAATGCAGTGGGAAGTATAGATGATCTCTTAAAAGACTTTAAATTTTTTCATAAACAGTTTTAAAACTATGACCTCTTTATTGGAAAAGGAAATAATGTTTCTTTATCTATTGTGAACCTCAACATCATGAAGCACTGAAATCACCATAACAACATTTCTGATGAATACATTGCTGGCTTTTCCAACCACTCCTTGAAATCATATCCTTTGTTATCAGTAACATTCTGATAAATCTCTTATGTAATCTTTAAAGCTTTTATATCTTTCCTGAAGTGCAATACCCCAGCTGAGGCCTAACCAAAGTTCATTCCAACTTGACAAGACAGTTGTCAATACCCCCTTTAAATGTTACAAATGGAATCAAATTAATTTGCTTTAACAACTTTTGAATGGTTACAGTTCTGACTAGGAATGATCAGCCTACCACTGCAGTTCTTTTACCAGTCTTGCTCCCTATTACCCATTCCTTGAGTTCCAAAAGTCCTTGCTTACAAATGTCTCAATGCTGTTTATGACTTTCTCCAGTGTGTATTCACTGTTCTTATTTCTGTTCACTCCACCTCTCCTCCACCTTTGGTGTTTTGCACTAACCATGTTGTCTGTTCACTCAAAAACATTCTTTCCATAGTGATCATTAGCCTTTAGCAACCAGCCCAATGACATTTTGATTTTAAAATTCTCATCCTCGTTTTTCAAATATTTCCATGGTCTCAGTCTCTGTATGTCGATAATCACTTTCAGGGTCTCAACCCTCTCAGATATCTGCGCTGGTCTAATTTGGCCCTCTTGCGTATGCCCAGTTTTAATTCTCCACCACTGGTGGTTGTGTCTTCAACTACCTATCTCCATGGTGTTTAGCCCCCTCCATAAGCTGCTGTGCCACTTTACATTGCTTCCTTCCTTTGAGGCACTTTTCCTTATCCTACCTCTTGGGCCAGATGATCAAATGTTGGTGAGATATCTCCTTATGTGTCTCTCTGTCATACTTAGTTTTATGAAGCACCTGTGAAGCGGCTTGATGTTTCATTACATTCTACATGTAGTACACAGTAGAAATTGTTACTGTATTTCTTGTCCCCCTTTTATTCTTCTTATCCTTGTCATGCTCGTTTGACGCCTATTCTTTAAAATGCCTTTTGATCAAGTAAAATTAACATAAATGCCAAAACATCTCATGGGTTCTTCAGGAGCATTATCAGAAAAAAAATGCAGAGTATAATGCTTACTGTCAGGCTTTCCACATTGTATTTTCTCTCTGTTCTCTATGTAACAATGTATGTTCCAACTTTGAGAGCAGCAAGAAGAGGGGATGTACCAGTATTCAATAGACAGCTGCCAAAGCTTAATGATCACTATTTCTTCAAAGCTTTAGAAATCCATAATTTTTATTTTCTGGATGCTGCAAATGACAGGCTAAAAGATCATCTCATTATTCATTGATTTAAAAACCCAGAAAGTTTCCATTCTGGCATTAATGATAACACTAAAAACAGATTCCTATTGAACTGCGATGACGCAGGTGAATCACTAATTTTTCTCCCGCACTTGCCTCAAGACAGTGGTTGTCACTGGTTTGTAAGTCCACAATGACCACTAACTTCCAATGGGCTGGTTGATCATTTAAAGTGGTGGGTGGTGGGTGTGGGTGGTGTCTGGAGAATAGAGTTGGGTGATTTGTGGGGGCCGAATTGGTGTCTTCACCTAAAAGTAGCAGTATTAATCTAATTATCTCCTACTTGCAGAATTGTGATTTTGTTTTATCTTGTGTTTTGGGACAGGTTGCATGCATTCTACAAGGTAGATAATAACACAATAATGAACGAGAGAATGGTTTTTCCTTCCACTCAGTTCTACTGGTTTGTGGTGGTGAAGTCTTTTCCAACTGGATGTAATTTGTGGATGCAATGGTTACTTTCAGTGATTCTTTTGTATTTTATTACAAATGGCCTTGCAAATATACTATTATAAAAGCTGTTGTCTGAAGGCTCATTGCTGGTAGGGTCAGTTCTATAACTGAGGCCAACCATGACGTTATCTAAGACAACAAGGTGCAGGGCTTGCAGGCCAAGCAGCATCATAGGAGCAGAGAGGCTGACGTTTCGGGCCTAGACCCTTCATCAGAAAAGGGGGAGGGGAAGGGGGTT